TCTGCACAGGGAGGTGTCACTTTTCTACACTCTCGGAGACCCCCTCCCTCTTCCCCACTAGAGTGTAAACTGGGTCAGGGGCTGGGAACACACAAAGCTCAAGGCGGACGGCCCGGGTGAGGAGCTGGGGGGTGAGGGAGGTGTTGCTTGGACCCCGGGGAGGGGTGATGAGGGTGATGAGGGTCTCCTTTCAGGGATGAAGGATGCAGCCGGGCCGGCTCCCGCTGGGCTGTGAGACGAGGAATCTCATGTGCGGAAAACCTGCTGATGCCCACGATCCCCACCCCCCGTGCCACTCACTGCAGGATTCTCTGGCCCCTGTCCCCTTGTTGTCTCACGGACAGCACGCCTCCAGATCCCCAACTATTTCAGGCATCCCTGCGTCTGCTCTTGATGGAGAGAAGCCTTCAAGGCATTCGCAGCCTTCAGCTTAGCACAAGGCAGGCAACACCCGGCTGCACCGTAGCCTGAGGCCAGAATGCGGCCACGCGGTCAGCAGCTGGGAAGTCTGGCCGGGGGAGGCTTGGATGGCGGGGACCCCGGCTCCCCGTGGGCAGTAAGGAGCTGCAGGGAGGCAGGTGCGTGGCCCCACCTTCCGACTCTGCTGTGCGTGGAGTCTTGGGGTCCTGAAGATGTCCCCTCTAGAGCTGGACCCTCCGCAGCCGTCTTCCCGGACTTGACAGGGGGCCACAGTCAAAACACAGGCTTGGAGCAGGTGGAGGGGTTGCCTCCATCTTTGCCTCCGACCCCGAGGGCGGGCTGTGGGCAGTGGTTATGCTTCCACGTCTCCCCGTCTGTGAAATGGGGACAGCATCCACCTGCCGCTTACCTCGTAGAGAACTGAGGGTGCTCGGGTGCGGGTAGCCATCCTGTCATCAGGGGCTGAGCCGCGGGGCCGCGGCCGTCACCTGTCCCAGCCTCTTGCGCCGCGGGCATCGAAGCCAGCATTGCTGTTCGTCCTTTCCGCTTCCTCCCTAACCCGCCTGCCAAGGTCTCCCCATGTGCCCGCAGCCCAGCCCGCCTGAGAAGGTTCCAGCTGAACAAAGGCCTCACCATCGCGTCCCTGTTCCCTTTTGTTTGCACTTTGATAACTGCCAAAGCCTGATGCAGACTTTCGCTATTAAAAATGGTCCTGTTGAGCAGTGAGCAGTCACGGGCACTTTCCGGAGCCGGCCGTGGGCGCTGGTGCCCAGGGTGCCGGTGCAGTCATGGGTGCCTGCCTGGGGGAGGCGGCGCTGGCACCTGCTGCGGGGTGGGAACCTTTGCGCGGCTGCCCTCTGCCCCCACCCAGGAGTCCTTTGTTGGGGTGGGGTGTCATTTCCACTGGGTTTCCTTGGCCACACCCCCTATCTTGGCAGTGAGCGAAGAAAACGTTTTTGCAAGCCGGAAGGCCGACTGGGGGCAAGCATTGCGCAGAGATACGCGTCTCCACACCACGCAGGGCGCTTGGTGAGCGCAGAGGGTTTCTTCAGGCAGAATGAGGAAACCTTTACAAAGGAGGCGTAGCTTGGGGTTGGATCCACGAAGGAAGCGCCCTGAGAGCACCCTGGTTTCCACGGGGTCCCTTTCCCAGGCTCACTGGCTGGCGGCAGGGGCGGGGTCCCCTGGTGGCCTCCATCCTCCTGCCCAGCTCAGGGGGCCGACCTCGGGCTCCTCACCCCGCCCGGGGCTGGCTGTCTGGACTCCGGGGTGTGCGCGCGCCCCTCGCCACCTGCCTTGCGTGGACAACGTAAACACAGCGTTGTCCGGAGCAGGCAGGCACTTGGGTGATGCTCCGGAACACTGAGTTCGGGATGCCCCAGGGCCTCGCTGCATCCGTCGGAGGACGGATGCGCGAGGACCACGCGCGCGGCGGGGTGGCTGGGGCGTGGTCAGCCTGCGCCTGCGCGGAAGCCATCGGGAGGGGGTCGGAGGGGCCTCTGTCCTGCCCGCCACGCCCCTCAGGGACGTGGGGGAAAGCAGGATGGGGGCTGGCCGTGTCGCTGTGACGCTTGCAAGGATGCGAGCCCACTCCATGGCAGGTGGCAGCCCGCGTTCTCCAAGGGCTGGAGGGCGGGCCTGGGCACTGGGCACTGGGCACTGGGCACTGGGCACGGGGCTGGATGGTTTTGTGAAAGTCAGGAGCGAACTGACACCCGTGCCCTTGGGTCTTAACCAACAGGTGGTGGGGAGGGCGCTCAGCAGCAGGCGCTCTGAGGGTCCTGGGGAGTCGCCCTGCGTCACACGTTAGACCGAATTAACACCCAGCAGTAAAAGGAGTGAGGCCTGTAAGCGGGGGGCGGGCTTCAGCGGCTTTCCTGGCTTGTCCAAGGCCCTTGTCCCCGTAGCGGGGCGCCGGCCCCCCCACTGCTGAGCGCCTGGTGGACGCCACCGTCATCTGACGGCCACTTACAGAATGTGGAGCTGTCCCGAGGCTTCGGTGGCTCTTGGTCTGCAGCCAGCGCCCGAGCATTCAGTTTTGTGTTGCTTTTTATGGAAACTATACGTTGTTTTAAAATGAAGTGTGGTTGATTTCCAATGTTGTGCTCGGTTCAGGTGTGCAGCAAAGTGGTTCAGTCACACACACACGTATTCTTTCTCAGGGTCTTCTCCGTTCTAAGTTATCTACAGGTACTGAGGATGGTTCCCTGTGCTGTACAGTAAGTCCTTAGTTATCCATTCTGGCTGCAGGGTGCTGGGTGCTGGCTGCAGGGTGCTGGG